GGATATTTATCTTGGTGAATGTGCTCGCTTGTTTAAAATGAACACTGTTTACTTAGTGATACTGATGAGCTTCAGGGTATTGTTTATTGAATGTAGGATTATAGCATTTAAAAAGATTATCCTTGTAGAAATTGTTCTAATGATCAAGGTTTAATGATTTCAATCTAGAAAAAAATTACTCTAGATTTTTTTTGGGTGCTCCTTTGATCTGTTCTTACCTGTGGAGTAGAAGATTGACTTGGAAGAAGGCCTGGAGAATGTGCGTAAAAGGCATCGTCTGTGTTTACAGGATAAGATTTCAGTTACTGAGGGCACCCTTTTCCCACCAGGGCTCCAGCAGTCGCCTGCTTGCATCCTGGGAACGCACAGTATTTGTACCTGCTGTTACTATTAATTTGGCATCCCATGTGTTTACCCAGGCCAGAAACTTGGAAGTCATTCTTGGGTCCTCTCCTTTATTTTCGACATTCAGTAACTTTTCCAGTCTCTACTCCTGTACCTGATGGTGCTGCGTAACTCTGTTGCCTCCAGGACTGCCCTGACTAGTCCAGACTCCACATGATGATGCCAGCTAGCAAGGTGGTTTCTGTAGAAGTTAGAAACTGATAATCTGCCCCACCTGCACACCTAGCTTGCTTAGAGCCCTTCATCCAGACAAAATCTAAACTTTTAGAACACGCAGCATCCTTCAAGATCTGGAGTCTGTCATCATCCTGAGATCTTTGTCTTTAAATTTTCTATTCTTGTCTACCATCCCATGCCCTATGCCCAAGCCTTGCTGAACCACTTGGAGTGTCATGCATGTTTCATGCACCGTCTGCTTGCTACAGTTGAGTACATCTTCTTCCCATTGCCTGGATTGATATTTTCCAGTGTCGCCTGGAATTCATGCATCTGTCCATTTGGTCTTTTTTTTTTTTCCCTTTGGCGGACCTGCCCTGGGGGTGGTGTATTGTAGGTGCTTAATTCATGTTCAGAGAATGAGCGAGTGACAGGTAAAATTGGGAGGATGGATGAACACACCTGTGCAGCCTGCTGTAGTCATGGCTGCCTGTCCGCCAGTCCTGCCTGCACCACCACTGCTGAGACCAGCACTCCCGGACAGCATGGTTCTTCTCCCTGTCCTCTCCCCTAGCACTCACACAGGGCACCAAGATCCCACAGCCAACATTGGTCCTCTGACAGAACCCCGCACTCAGAATTATCTTTTCCTGCTGAGGCAGGAGGCTGGGCCTGCTCCTAGGGATGTCCTTCACTGGAGGTATATCTGATCTTGTGCTGACTGCACTGGGGTTAAGTACTCGTGCCAGAACACAAAACTCAAGTGTCATTTCCCACACACCGTATCAAAGGTACAAGCTGTTATCGATGTCACTGGCCACAGCTGATGTTGGTCCCTCAGTCACCAATCAGGTTGCTGCACTATAAAGTTACCCTTTCCCTGCCCTCCTCCTGCCAGGCTGTCCTTTTAGGATCAAAATTACTATGTGCAGCTTAGATTGAAGGAATGAGAGTTATATTCCACCTGCTGTAGAGCATGAAATAAGTAATTTGGTATTCGTCACATGAGAGCTGTGTTTCTTCAAGATTTATAGGCTTATTTAATCATGTCTATCAGTCTTGTGCTATTTCTTGTAATATTTTTTTAACATAAATCCTATTTTGTCTGTGGTGGTTTGATCACCCCAATTATCTGTAGTTACCTTTTGTGTGGAATCACTTTTTCCAGATTCTCAGTTTATTTCCATGTTTGAATGTGATGAAAATATATGAGGGACACCATATGTGAGTGGACATTTATAATTTTGAAATGTACTGATATTATCTATTCAGTGTGGCAGTATTCTCCTGGCTTACATTACTTGTCTTTGGTTCCTTTAGCTCTTTTAGCATATTTGTGTTAATTTATTTAATGCATTTTCCTAAGAAAGCCAATGCCTAGGCTTTCTCAAGGTCAGTGTCAATTTATTTTTCCCTGTAATTGGTTATACTTCCTTGTCAGTGTTTTTTCATTTTCCTTTTTGTAAGATTTATTTTATTTATTTGAAAGGCAGAGCTACAAAGAGGGCAGGGTGGGGTGAGGAGAGAGAGAGAAAGCTAGCTTCTAACTGCTGGTTAATTCCCTACATGGTTGCAAAAGCCAGGTCTAGGCCAGACTAAAGCCGGGAGCCAGGAGCTTCTTCCAAGTCTTCAACATGGGTTCGGGAGCCAAGGCTTTGGACTATCTTCCACTGGTTTCCTAGGTCATTAGCAGGGAGCTAGATCAGAGGAGGAATATCCAGGACTTGAGCAGGCACCCATATGGGATCTGAAACAGCATTGCACTGGTCACTGTGGAATATTTTTTGGAAACATTTTTTCTCCCTTGTATCTCCTTTCTCAAGCTCTTCCTTCCAAAGCTTTTTTCATCCAGTTATTGGCTGTCCTGAGTGTCAGTCTTTGCCCAGATATGCTGCAGTCAACATTTTTGTCCTTAAATGCTTTTGGTAAGCACTGCCTAGAAAGCTGCTGTGCGCTCAGAAAATCTGAGTTGGACCAAACAGCATCACGCCCTGTGTCGACACCTCTAGCAACCACTGTTCAGGCTGGCTGAAAGCCCAGCCGCAGCTCTTCGAGACTAAGGCTCATTTGGCTCCTTCTGGCATTAGCAGCCTCAGCTAAGATTCTGGGCTGCCCAAACTCATAGCCACATTGGTTGGAAAAGTGGGGTGCAGCAGGCGGGCAATTGAAATTTTGGCTTATTTATTTATTTGGAAAGTCAGAGGGAGGGAGGTGGGAAGAGAGAGATCTCTTTTTCCACTGATTCAGTCCCTGAAGGCTTGTAAAATATGGTGATGAATAAGGATCTTTTCTGCTTACTTATTGGGATATATATAATTGGAGAAATTGAAAATATCTAATCTTTAGAGACTGAGTGATTAAGTAATGTATGATATATTTAGATTGTGGGATATAATGCAATTGTTAGAAAAATTATATCTAGGACCTAATCAACGCCTTGAATAGCTAATTCTCCCTCTTCAAGCATGCACTGGCATCCCATATGTGTTCCAGTTCGTGTCCCAGCTGTTTCACTTCCCAATACAGTTCCCTGTCTGTGGCCTGGGAAAGTGGTAGAGGACGGCCCAAAGCCTTAGGACCCTGCACCTATGTGGGAGACCTGGAAGAAACTCCTGACTTCAGATCAGATCAGCTCTGGCCACGGAAATTGAACTCCTAGTACTACATTCTAGATCCTTCCTTCTCTTACATTGTTTATCCTGGCTGTAGAAGTCTCCTTCACATCTTTCTGAAAATATCACCTCTCTGTATAGGACATTCTCCCTCCAGTTCCCCACTGGCACCCTTTCAAATGATTTTGATATTCACTTTAGAATTTGGAAGGTGGGTCGTTTGCTTTATTTTCTGTCTTCTTGCTAGCTCTATAAACTCTGGCAACAACTTCCTCTTGGTCCTCAAACAAATTTAGACTATCATGGCTACTGTACAGTTCTCACTACAGGGGGACCCTAGGTCTATAGTTCAAATTAAACATTAGCTCATATGGCCTCCAGGCTTCTAACTAGTGGACTGAGAGGACATTTGCAGAGGGACAGAAATGTTGAAATAATGTAAATACAAACAGGAGGGGTCCTGTGTGCCCACAGGGATGAGGCTGTGCTGTCGAAAGTCCCAATGGATTCCTCATTTGTCCATCCCTTCCCCGTCAGCTCTTTCTCCTGAAATTTCAGCTGTGTCATGCATAAGCACTGTTGACATGCTGTCCACTAAATGCCTTTGGTAAATATGTGGAGCTTAAAGTCTCTGCCATTTTCCATTAGGAAGTTACTTTGATATAGTTTCACTCCTCATAGGAATCATGCTGCCACTCTGCTACCAATTAGCACAACTTGAGATTTGGAGTTCTAGAATTTGTTCCAGGGTAATCTCTCACAGTGTGTGGGATGACTAGGTCATTAGAATTGTTACTTGAACCATTGCTTTCCACAGACCACCCCTGGGTGCACAAGGTTCGGACTGATCGCCTTTTGTTGCATTCTAGTTGTGAGTTGGGTTCTCGAACCATTTCTGATTCTCTGTCCTCTCCATCCCCCGCTGATCTGTGGGTGTAAGGATGCAGCTAGTTGAAGACCTGATTCCATTTACTCGTTCCTTTGGTGAAAGCAAAAATAGCACCAGACTTACAAACATGGGGCATGATGTTTACCAAGTATGTAACACTGAATGTGTAGACATATAACATATTACTTGGAAACTTTGGGAAACTGGAATTTGATCATTCCTTTATTGCTTATAAAAGTCCTTTTCAAAAAAGTGGGGGGGGGGGAGGAGAAAGAAAAAGCCCCACAAGGTTCTCAGTTAGTAATCAGGTGCTTTGGTTTTTAACATCTAACTTCTTGAACACACCTGCCAGCCTCTTAGAGAAGTTGAGTGTAGATGAATTCTGTTGTAGCAGAAAAAACGAGGACTCAAAGCTTTTCCTCTGGAGTAACTTTGTTGTGTAACATCACAGCTGGTTCTGAATACAGGTGCGTGTCCCTGCTGTGCCCTGAGAAAGGAGAAGGAGAATAGCTCAATCCAGATAGGACATGGGGGAGGAGTGAGCGCCCAACAGCAAAGCTACCCAGTGTTGCAATCTCAGTCTGAACCATGTCTCTGGGAGAGAGTTTCCTGCTGCCTGTTTGTATCTCTGAGTAACCACAGACCGCCCCCCCCCGCCCCCCCCTCCAGAGTGAACTGTGGAGCCATCCAGATACCTCCTGCAGCACTGGAGCCACGTTTCAGAGAAGCTTGGATTCGGTGGGGGTGTACACAGCCTCCTTTACCTTCCACTGGGCAGACGCTCAGCTCAGGGGGTGCTCAGAGCACAGGACTGAAATTCCTGCAGGTAAGAATACCCTCCCCCCCACCCCCAGGAAATGGACTCCTCCAATGTTCTCACATGATTAATCAATCACTTTCACTTTTCCATATATAGGAGTCACCCAGGAGCCAGCTCCCGGCCAGCCAGAGGGAGTGACACATCTGTAGTCCATCCACCCCCTCTCTTCTCACCCATCCTCGCCTTTCTCTCACATGCTCAGGGGCAGTTAGGATTGAACCCAGTGGCTGAGTCAAAGCCAAGCCTGTTGGGGTTAAAGGGAAAAAACCAGTCAGGCCAAGTCACAGCATTCCCTGGAAGAAGCTGAGTGGAGAAGTGTGGAAAGATGAATGGACCGGTGGATGGCTTGTGCGACCATTCTCTCAGTGACGAAGGAGCCTTCATGTTCACATCAGAATCTGTAGGAGAGGGCCATCCAGGTGAGTAGGTCGGCCTGAACCCATGGGCAAGTCCGCCATTCCCAGCTCCTCTTGAAGAACTTGCTTCTAAGGTCTGAAAAACCGATGAGTGTCTGTGACTATAAGGGGCCTCTAGGGGAAAGAACTATGGGGTCGTTTTGTGAAACATTATGAAGCCGCGGCCCCATGCTGTTCCCTGCCACTGGCAGCATGGTGCAGTGTGGCTGCAACTGTGAACGATCAAGTTTGCTTGGGTAAAGGCATAATGTGTGTGAAATGTATCATCAGATTTTCACTCTGCATAGCTATATTTATGTATTTTTATTTGGAAGGCATGTTTAGAGAGAGAGAGAGAGAGAGAGAGAGAGAGAGATGAGCTGACTTTGCTGCTTTCTCAGTCCACAAGCAGCGAGCTAGATTGGAAGTGGAGCACCTGGGACTAGAACCAGCACTCACCTGGAATGCCAGTGCTGCAAGGCAGAGGATTTACCTATTGAGCCTCCGCACCAGCTGCCAGATACTAACTTTTGATATGTTCATTGAGTAAAGATCTGAATCCGTTCTCATTGAGCAATCTGAATGTACGTAATATTTCTCCTACCAGCCCAAGGGCCCCTGAGTTCTGGAAGGGAAGCCAGTGCAGTGTAGACCAGCGGCCTTTCCCAGTTAGGTCTCTGGGTACGAGAGCCCTCAGCCGTATTACCTAGGAGAAGTTCAGAGGACTTCCTGGAGAAAAAAGAAAAGCACGCAGGCACTGCTTTGGTCCCTGCAAGCTGGGTGGGCTGTGATGTGGGGCAGTGTAGAGACCCTCCCTGGGGATGGTGAGGACCAGGCTAGGGCACTGAGATCCCCAAGGTGCTGGGTGACGATTCTCAAGCCTTGGGATGCATTGACATGTCAAAACCCAGAGTGCTGGCTTCCACCTGGGCTGTCTGCATCAGCAGGTGCTCGGGAGAATGTGCATTCAAGGGTTTTTGTTTGTTTGTTTGGCCGTATTCAGCATTTACTAAAAAATGTGGGAACCACAGTTTGAGAACTGCTGTCCCAAGACAACCCTACAGGCTAGATATATTGGATTCTGTATTTAAGTCCATCCTCAAAATTCATTTCCGTGTTTGAAAAATTTGATCATTCAACCACCAACTATACCTTTCTCTACCTTCCTTATTCTTAAAGAAATGTAATTCTGTATTTTGTAACTGATTGTTCAACGCCTCTTCTGTCTGCTTTAGCTAGTGGTTTTCAGTGGAAGCCAGTTTTGTATTTGTTTCTCAAGAACATGTTTTAATGGCTGTGATTTTGGTTGTTACAACAAAGGAGGGAAAGCTCAACTGGCATCTATTCTGATAGAGGTCAGACATTGTACTAAATGTCCTACAGTGCATAAGACAACCCAGGAGCCAAGAATTATCTGGTACAAAACGTCAATAATGCTGCTGAGGAAGAAACCTTGAACTAGATTGAGTTGTGTCTGTGGCTTAGCTTGATTCAATGTACATAGTCCCTCTCACTGGGCACAACCCTACAGGTACAAGTACAGTTAACCATGACTGTCATGGTAAAAACATGGTTGGTGTCTGACACATCCAGGGCTTTCAGATGTCACCTACAGGTTAGGACAAAAAGGAGCTCCATTTGGAGGAAGTGGGTCGTTTGGTATACAGGGGCCAGTGATTGGCCTGTTGTACAGGACAGCAGTGTGCTTAGTGGACAGTGAAAATCCCAGCCAATCAGTTGATTGTTGCTTTGTTGTTGTTCTGTTTCTTGTTCACCCATGAGTTTGTCAGATTTCCCTTTTCACTTGCCACTGCAATTGAACTAGTTAGCTTTTCTCTAAGGCTTGATGATTTTCGGCTTGCCATTTCATTTATAATGCATCAATTCACAATTCTCCACCAGAGAGATAAAGTTAATAAATTTTTTTGTGACTTCCAGGAAAATCAGCTGCTGGCTAATGGAAGCTTAGTAATGATACTGGCAGAGTAGTTTGGAAGCCTGAACAACAGGTCTAAAATGACTCCTTGGAGCCTGGTTTCAGTCCTGACACCCTTGCTCTACTCAGGCCTTACACCCAATCACCGTCCCATTCCCTGTGCAGAGTGGGAACATGTGAGCTGAGTCCTTAAACAGGCAGAGGTGTTCATGATTGACAAGTGAATGGCTCCCAGGAATCACGAGGGATCGCTGTGATATATACAATTCCTATCATATGTTTATTGTAGGATATCTTTGTAGCAGGAGACCTTCATTGGAAGGGGTATGCAGAGGCGATAGACTCAGACAAACTTTGATTTATAGTCAGGATCTGTAACAGCAGAGATAGACATGCTCAACCATATGTTTAATAATAATTTCTGAAAGAACAATTAGGGTGCTCACCTTTAATGGCACATTGACTAATACCTGTAGTTTCCTAATAACTGCTTTTGAAAACTGATCTGCTTGATTGTGAACCTGGAATCTTTTTTTTTTCTAAAAGATTTATTTGTTTTTATTGGAAAGGCAGATTCACAGAGAGACAAGACAGAGAGTAAGATCTTCCATCCACTGGTTTTCTCCCTAAACAGCCACAACAGCCAGAACTGAGCTAATCCAAAGCCAGGAGTCAGGAGCTTTCTCTGGGTCTCCTATATGGGTACAGGGTCCCAAGGATTTCGGTCATCTTCTGTTGCTTTCCCAGGCCATGAGCAGGGATCTGGATCAGAAGTGGCCCAACCGGGACATGAACTGGTGTCTGTTTGGGATGTCAGCACCTGCAGGTGGATTATTAGCCTGTTGAAACATTGCAACAGCCCTAAGAGTGGATTTTTCCACAGTTCCATTTAGTAGTCTACATGCTAGATCAAGCGGTATGTATAAGGCAAATAGAAATCTACCATCAAATCCCAGTTCATGTCACTTTGAACAGACCCATCTGTTAGGACATCTAGCCTTTGGGAGACCAAGTGATGATGGAGGGACATCAGGGAGATGCTCGCAGAAATGTTCTGCAAAGCTGTGCTGTGTGGAGCTTTCCCTTGCAGAGTTATCATGGGTGGAGCTGTGTACTTGGTGCGAGGTGCATTGCATCTCATGGAACCCACAAGCCAGTGTAGCTCTTCGTCCCATCTGATTTCCCATCCTGGCGCAGAATCTTACTGATGTTACTAACCATTTTAAGTTGGATTCCCAGGATCTTCCTAGTTGATAGGATTAAAGGGAATATGTTTTAGGATAAGAGACTTGGGTAGAAGAATTTGTGCATGTGTCAATAGCTTTAGACTCTGAGAACAGCTGATTAGTTAAATGTGTGGGATACTTTTACAAGTTCATGGAAGATAGATTTTAAAAATACATTTATTTTGGAACAGTTTCAAAATTGATGCACGGGTTTTTTTTTCTTCAAAAGATTGATATTCCATGATCTCTTCACATTTCTTCTCCTTTTCCCTCACCTAAATCTTCTCTTTTTTCCCCTTCTTTCCCTTCTCCTTTGTCACCTTCTTCAGGGATCCTGTGACTGTATAATATATAATCCTCTATAATCAGACAGACATGGGAAGAAATAGAAATTCCAAGTTATTTCTGGGTAGCTTACAGATAAGAAAAATACTCTCATAGGTATGTAGATTTGCTACATAAGCCGACAAAAATATTGATTTTTTGAACACTTCAGTTGCACCAAGCATTTATATGGTTCCTACCCATGTATTTTCTTCTTGTCCAGATAAGATCTGTGACCAGATCAGTGATGCTGTGCTGGATGCCCATCTCAAGCAAGACCCCAATGCCAAAGTGGCCTGCGGTAAGGGCTACCAACCCTCTTTTTGTTGATTTCCTGTAGGCTGGACTTCAAAAGTTCACAGTAGGTAGGGGAACACTGGAGTTTTAGTTCTCAGTTTCAAAGACATTATCCTCTGGTCTGTCATGTGTTTCTTCACCATGTGACCTTCCCTATGGAAGAAATGGGGAGGAGAAACCACCCACTCCGCAAAACAACTTGGCAATGAATTTTAGCAAGAACTTGGTCTTGGCCGTCTCGGCCACTGTAAATGTTGGCACGTTGGTGGGCGAACATGGTCTCCCTGAGGCTGGAGCTCCCTGGGAGTAGAGAGGTCTTTCACAGCCCTTGAGATGAATCTTCCAGAAGAGATGAAAGAGCTCGAAGCCAGGGAACTGCCTCTGTGGTGCTGGGCTACACCCGCACCACACAGGTGTGTGCTTTGCCCTTGTTCTCCTGCCTCTCTGTGCTATTATTCAGATGTTGACAGATTTTCTTTTTGCCTTCTATCTGATAGCAAATAGAAGGGCAGCATCTTCACTGATTATCAATCAAGCTAACAGCCTTTCTGGAGAACATTCATGTCAAACTCAAGCTCAGAAACCCTTGTTTATATTTGCGTTCTTCACTGCTTCCTGGAGGCCCATGTAGGCAGATCTTGCAGGACAAAGGACAAAAGCCTTTGAAACTCTTGGTACAGTAGCAGAGCTAGAAGCCCCAGAACATAGGGGGCTCCAGGTCTAGTCTGCCTACTTTGCTTAGTGCTTCGTGATGTCACTTGTAACAGGTTTTGGGCCAAAGCCATGGGGCAGCAATGCCCCAGCTGGGACCCCAAGTCCTGTTCTCACTGTCTGAGACCTGTCCTGGCCATGGCACAGACCTGTCTTTCCCTCTCTGGTGGTTTCTTGGTGGGGAACTTTAGATGACCTTATTAAGAAGCTGGAGAGAAGTTTGGTCTGCTTTGATCCTTTGAGAGGGATCCCACTTCCTACAGCCTGCAGTAACAACTGGTGGGGGTGGGGAGTGCCAACTTTCCACAACCATTGCCTCATTTGAGTCTATCAGCAGTTGTGTTACTATATCCACTGGATGGTTGGGGAGACTGAGATGTATGTTAACTAAGTTTTCCAAGATGGCAATAAGCAGTCAGTCCTCAGCATCAAATTCTACTGCAGTCGAACATTTTTCCAAAGCACCATTTTCCAGGCAGCATTACTCCCTTATATTGGCATCATTGTGCTCTTTTTGGAGTTTATTCCTCCTAAGGCCTCCCCCAGAGCCCTTCTGTTTATACTGTGGGAGGGTCTGGGTAGTTGAACTTCTCTGCTGTGGCCGCTAACACCTCCTCCTTCCCTTGCAGAGACGGTGTGCAAGACAGGCATGGTGCTGCTGTGCGGGGAGATCACCTCCGTGGCCATGGTGGACTACCAGCGGGTGGTGAGAGATGCCATCAAGCACATCGGCTATGACGACTCTGCCAAGGGTGAGCAGGATCACCCTGGCCGGGCCCCCACATAGGTCTCAGCTGAGAGTGTCCTCCCCGCTGTGCCGAGACAAACCTGAGCCTTAGAGACAAACAGTCCTGCACCTGTCTGTCAGGTGCCCAGCTCCAACGCTCTGGGAGGAGTGAGGCAGTTCGATGACTGGATTCAGATGAACTAGCCTATATTCTTCTCTAGCCTACTCTTAGTGAAAGCCCTGCTTTCATCATGCCAGCAAAGGCTTTGGAAAAGAGAGAAGGACCTGGGAAAGACAGTTGGTCCTCTCTTGGAGACACCCTCTCTGCCAAGCATGATGCTGAGTCATGTTGACATGGTTCTCATGCAGAAGGTGGAGACTTGGAAAGGTACATGTTGACATGTGCCTCCCTAGGCTGCGAGCGGCTGCCTTGCTGGGGACTCCTGTGCTTTGCACTAAATGGTGCCACTCCCCATCAGGGAAAAAGATGAGACATTCCAAAACTGGTGCCCACAGTAGGTGAAGGACACAGGCTTGTTCTGATGCCAGGTAGGACAGGGGCTAGAACCCTGGGAAGGGCAGAGGCACATGCCATTGGAGAGAATGAAGGAGGAGCGTCAGCATGACCAGATTAGTGTGTGAGCTGGAAGGACTGAGGGACTGATGCAAATTCTGGCATCTGAGGCTGGACAGACCAGGAAGCTGCCCAGCCTGGAGGGGCAGCCAAAGACCAGAGTTTAGAGGTCAGGCTGAGGGTTGGGTGCAGTGACACTGGGGAGGAGATTCAGGGCCACACTGCCTTCCTGGGGAGGACTCTGGCCCCCAATTCACAAAAGTTCCATGACACTATCTGGCAATATTCAGGCAATCCATCTATCTATATAATTTGGAGTGGAGAGAGCAAGTGAGAGAGAGAGAGAGCACTCAGCTTTGGTTGCATCCAGCTCAGCTGGCAGAGTTTTCCTGTGCCTACGCTTGTCAGTGGACCTGCACCAAATGGACTACCCTAGGTTGTGATACCCACCATGCAGCACATGGGCATCTCCTTGTCCTCCAATATTTTCTGCTCTTTGCTGCAGAGATGCTGGACTCACTGCCCCTTCTAAACCCTGAGCCATTCCTTTGGTTCCTGAATTCCATCTCTCCAAACCCCTCACAGTGCCCACTTAGTTTTCAGCACTGTTATTTGGAAAGAAGGTAATGAAGTAAAATGTGCCATGTGCAGTATTGAATGAGTCACTTGGCAGCTCTCTAAAGGCAGCATTGATTTGCATGTTCCGGAAACATGCCCTGGGACACGCAGGGGTGCAAAGGGCAAAGGTGACCTGATGATGCTCCTAGGGTAGGTGGCACAACGTGACGTGCCCAGTAGTGGTAGTAGCGGGTGCCAGATTGCTGGTACCACCATCCAGGGATACTTAGGAATAGCAAGTCAGCTCTAAACATCTGGGGACGGAGAGCCAGATGAGGCACTTCCTGTAGGCATGGAGACCCAGGAGAGAGGGGAAAAGCTTATCATGCTTAAGACTGATCTTGAATTCACGGAGTTTCATAAATAGTCTTTGGGTCCAGTCTAATGGCTCAATTGGCTAATCCTCCCCCTAAAAATACCAACAGCACGTATGGGCACCAGTTCATGTTTTGACTGCCCTTCTTCCTATCTAGCTTCCTATTTATTGCTTGGAAAATCATTGGAGGATAGCCTAAAGCCTTGGGATCCTGCATGCACATGGGAGACCTGGAAGAAGCTCCTGGCTCCTGGCTTTGGATCAGCGCAGTTCTGGCTGTTGTGGCCAGAGCTGTCTCTCCTTCTCTCTGTAGATCTATCTTTCTAATGTATATCTTTTTAAAATTACTATTTGGCAGTTAGCTACCCACCCAGCTGAATCTCATTCATAAACAATTGAGTGAGTTTGTGTGCGTTTGTTCATAAACCCATCCTGGCTGTGCAGTGGGAGGCTAGGCTGAAAGAGGATGGCTGAGGGTTCAGGAGGAAGGTTAGTGAGTTTGTGGCTACACTTGACATTGTAGTGGAGGTACCTATATGGTTTTTTTCTTTTTTTTTTTTTTTTAGAAAAAAAATATTTTTTTTTGAAAGGCAGAGTTAGAGAAAGAGGTAGAGATGAAGATCCTCCTTCTGCTGGTTCACTCCCCCAGTGGGCACGACAGCCAGGTCTGGGCCAGGCTGAAGCCAGAAGCTTCCTCTGGGTTTCCCACATGGATGAAGAGGTCCAAGGAATTGGATTGTCTTCTGCTGATGCTTTCTCGGACACATTAGCAGGAAGAGGGCTACAGGATCAGATATGGAGCAGCCCGGACTTGAACTCATACCAGAATCACAGGCAGTAGCTTAAACCTGCTGTTGTACAATACCAGCCCCCATTTTGTAACAATTATTATTGTTTTTTTATTTGAAAGGCATAATGGCAAAGAGCTCTTCCATCCACTTGTTTGCTCCCCAGAAGGCTGCAACAGCTGGGGCTGGGCCAGGCCTAAACCAGGGCTAAGAACTCCACTCAAGTTTCCCATGTGCATGATGTGGCCACAAGTAGTTGAGCCATTTTCCACTGCTTCCCCGGCCACATTAACAGGGAGCTGGACTTCAAGTGGAGCAGAAGGGATTTAAATTTGGCACTCTGATGTGGGATGCCAGTATCTCAAGTAGTAGCTTAACTTGTTCACTGGCATCTACTTTCAAAAGTATCTATTTAATTTGTATGGAAGACAAGGAAAATGAAGTCGGGGAGAAGAAGAAAGCAAAGGATGGAGGGAGGCAGGGAGAGAGAAAGAGAGAAGGAAAAGAGAGAGAAATTGGAAGTTTCCATTTACTAGAACACTTCCAAAATGGCCCATGATGACTGGGCCTGGGCTGGGACCAGGAGCCAGGAAAGCAGGTTTTCCATTTGGGACCCAAATACTTGAGCCATTACACCCTCTTGGGGTGTCCACTAGCAGGAAGCTGTAACCAAGAGCAGAGCCTGAGACTCACACCCAGGCACTCTGATACAAGATGCAGGTCTCACAGACAGTATCTTAATCGTGCATCCAGTGCCCATCCTGGCACCCCTGTGTTCAGCTCCTCCCTCTTACAGTGCCCGGTGCCGCTCCCAGCAGAGCTGGTGAGGACTGCCAGGGAGATGTTGTTTCTCTCCACGGCACCTGGCTCCCAGGGCTGCTATCAACCAAGACACTCTAAACCCAGTGCCCAGCACCCCAGGGAAGGACCAGCTATCCACCTCTGGACCACAGCTTTGCAGGTGCAGGCCTCGGCCACCTGCCTCAGGCCTGTGCACATCGCAGGAAGAGAGGTCTCTGGCTCCAGGAACATGTCTGGCTTGTACACATGTACCATGCATGTTCAGTGCATGCAACAGTCAGGTTAGCCATGCAACTGGGCCTCTGGATGACATGCTGGCAGGCTCTGAGTTATATATATATAATTATATATATGATTATTTTTATTGGAAAGGCAAACCTACAGAGAGAAGAAGAGACAGAGAGAAAGATCCTCCATGTGCTGGTTCACTCCCCAAATGGTTGCCACGGCCAGAGCTAAGCCGATCGAAAGCCAGGAACCAGAAACCTCTGGGTCTCCTGTGTGGGTGCAAGACCCCAATATTGTGGGACAACCTCCGCTGCTTTCCCATCCCATATACAGGGAGCTGGAAAGGAAATGGAGCAGCCCAGACACAAACTGGCATTGACATGGGACACCAGTACCTGGCGGTGGAGGCTTAGCCAGTTGAACCAACGTATTGTCTTCCCTCCCTCATGCAGTGATTTTTCAAACTGGTTCCTGGGGAGTGCCTCCTGGAGAAGTGGCAGAATCAGGACCATGAGCTTACCCACCTATATATCAACAGGAACCGTGTTAGTTAGTCCTGCCTAGCTTTCGTACCATAACCCTGTGTAAGATAATGGTTGTTCTCATATAACAGGGCAGTGTTAAAATCTCACCTGCTCTATGTGTCAAATACACTATGTGTGTCCCTGCTTGGGTGATACAAACTTATAAGAGGCCAAGTGTTACTAAGATTTCTCTGAGATTTGTGAAAAAACTGTTGGTGGGAAAGCCATTTGTCACTGCAGTTAGTTCTTCGGGATGAAGAATATCAGGGCACATGGATATGCAATCATAAATCCCTTTGTCCATTTGCACAATTTGTCACCAGCAACTAACAAAGACATTCATCTTCTTTCATGGGAAATTGTCAGAACTTGTTAGCAGTTTTCAAAATGTTCAGAAATAACCCATGCTTAAGAAGCCATGGAGTTGTATAAATGATAGCAAAAGCTTCAAGAGAGAAAGCTAGCAAGTAACATTTGTGTAAACAATTTTCAAAGAAAAGTGTTCTGGCAATAATATGGTATCCTAGAGGCAGTTTTGGAGAAAACTTGGACTTGGCCGTGGTTCTACCACAGTTAACTGTTAATTCATTCAGAATATCTGCTGATTGTCCATTGTGCTAGCACTGGCATACAATAATGCATAAGACAGATATGGTCTCTATCCCTGAGCGGGTGGACCCTTTCCCCAAAGTACACAATTGGGTGGAATGCTTTTAGTTGTTCAAGTGTCATGAAGGAAACCAATGGCTTTGCGTTAGTCCCATAATAAAGACTAAAATTGTTAAAATGAAAACAAAACAAAAAAAAGATAATGGTTGTACTCACCAAGACATAATGGAACCCAGTAAAATGCACAATGGAGTTCCAGATGACAGTGGAACTCAACTAGCACACTGGGTCTCACCTGGGAGCCTCGTAGAACCCAGCTAGCTCAGGGCCTCCAAGTCCAATAGAAACGCCCCTATTTCACATCCAGCCCGGGGCAGCCCCCGTCTTGGGGGACTGGCAGGTGTCACTCAGATGTGCTTTGCTCCACGGCCTAGGCTTTGACTTCAAGACCTGCAACGTGCTGGTAGCTCTGGAGCAGCAGTCCCCCGATATCGCCCAGTGCGTCCATCTGGACAGAAATGAAGAGGATGTGGGTGCAGGGGACCAGGTAACTCAGCCCTGCGCATAGAAACCCATTTGTGGGCCCCTCTCCAGCGCAACCCATCTCCTCGGCCTGGGATCCCCTGCCAAGGTTGGGAAGTGAGCAAGGTGTGTTGTTGAGTCATGGCTTGCTCACCCTGTGAGGGCAGAGCCCTCATCTTAGTATGAGAGGTGGGAGGGAGGAGGGTGTGGCTGGAGTGATTTGGAAGCCCCACGTTGAGTGCTGGCGACTTTATTACATGGCTGCTTGGCCGCATTGCTTGTCTCCCACTCCCAGCGTGCTGGATGGACCCAGGGAAGTTGCCCAGTCTGCTAGGCGTTGAAGCAGCAGGGATGTATTAGGTGGAGAGCATGGCACTGAGCACCCCAGGGCACTGCTCAGGCTGTTGTGTGCCCGGCCCCAGGGTCTGATGTTCGGCTATGCCACGGACGAGACAGACGAGTGCATGCCTCTCACCATCATGCTCGCACACAAGCTCAACGCCCGGATGGCGGACTTGCGGCGCTCGGGCATCCTGCCCTGGCTCAGGCCTGACTCCAAGACCCAGGTGAGCTGCCATGAGTCCCCCTGCCCACACGCCTGTGCACGCACGCACACACACACGCCCATCTTCCAGATCCCTTTCCTTTTTCACATCGAAAATGTTCCAACCCCGGAATTTGCAGCATCATCCATCATCCTCCGCTGTGAAAACAGCTGTTCATCTGAAACAGCTTCAGCTTAGGTGCCCCCATCCCTGGATTGCATCAGAAGACATTTTTGAAGAAAAGTACACAACGTTTTTTTTTTTTTTCTTCCTTAACTCTGGTGCTTTTCCAGTCCCTGCCCAGTGCATCACACCCAATTTCAGACACCGTGGTAGAGCTGCTGCTCACGTGTAAGCGCATGCGCCTTGAACAGGCTGTGTGTGCTCTAACCATGGCCCTGGCTCTTGTTCTCATGGGAGAACTTTGATGTCATTGTGTCCGGTCCCAGTCCCCAAGGGCCCTGACCTCTGCTCTGCACAGTGTTGAAATCCACCCAGCAGTCCACACCTGAAGGCCAGAAGTGATGCAAGCACTTGAACACGTGGAGATGGCCCATCAGCCTTCACTCTCCAATGCCCCCTCTGTGATTCTCTCCCCAGGGCCCTCCTCCCGGTGGTCTTGGGACCTTTCTCCCCCTTCCAATGTACTAGCATGTGCATCTGCCCACCTGCCACGTGCAGCTCACTGTCACCTCCTGCTGGGCTGCAGGAGTGGACAGAGGGCCACCCCGGCTCAGTCCGAACCTTTGCCTCTTCTGTCTTCTATGCTTTGTGACCCAAGGCTTCCCCTCCCCTCAGTCTCTTACTATTCTAGCCCAGCTTTTCCCAAAGCTGCTGCACCTGCCTGACCGGCCAGGATCAATGCCCTGCCCTCCCAAAGCTTCCTCACTTGGAAACACTACTTCATTTCCTTCAGGTTTCACTGTTTGTTTTTTCTAGGACTATAGACTTCATTCTAGAGCAGGGAGCACATTCACACACTTGTTACTCTGGCATTGAAAGTCTTTCACCACATTCCAACCACACCTTCCTCTGCCTGCACCTCTAGCGCGATCTCAGCCAGATCTACCTCATTTTACGTTCAGTGCTTCGTGCTCAGGTTCTCACCCTCCGTCCTATCAAGGGGTCCTTCCCTGGTTTCACCTATCCGTGAGTGGTCAGCAGGGTCCCCACATCCTCATGGATGCTGTTTCCAACCTCCTCCAGAAGGGCTCCTGCTCCTGCACCTGTATCTGGAATTTGGTGCCTACAGCTTTAGATCTCAGCAGGTGCATGTGGCTCTGAGACACAACCCTCTTGCTGCAAGCACCCCAAGGCCCAGGTTGGATGCCAGCTATGTTTGTGGCCTAAAGGGAACTTCCTACTGCCGATCATGTGACACCCTCCACCCCCGCCCACTATGGGAAGCAGAGTCACCAGCATTGCTCGGGGGTCCGTGATGATTGTGGGGCAGGAGAACTATGTGCAGAGATTGTGGGGGCACCAACAGAAGGGGCAAGCGAGTGCTGGCCTGCCCCATCCTGGCACGGTGTGAGGATGTAGAGACAGGATGGATGGAGGAAGGCAGGGGCACTGAGACAGCCCTTCTTTCTCCCTGTGTGCAATTGGGGAGAGGAAGATCCACCCTCTCCATGGCCTCAGCTTCTGCCTGCCTAGGGCAGGAAATAACGTTTCCAAGTCTAGGAGGCAGGGGAGTGAGGAAGAGAGACTGAACTCTTAGGGTTTCCCTTCTTGCCAGGATGGGCTGAGTTCTCTGAGTTGCTATGTGGATTCTATAGCACATTGCCCTGTTCACCCCTGTTACAGGCTGCAAGGGTAGTGAGTTTGCTGGGAGCTGTGCGTGGCCCCCGGGCCAGTTCTGTGGGGGCTGTGTGAGCCATCCCGACTCCCTTCTGCTCCCCCAACCCCGGTATCTCACCACCTCTGTGCAGCATCCCAGGAATGACCGCCAGGCCTTCTCACCACCCCCAGCCATGATGAACCCATGTCCTCTCACCAGGTCACAGCCCGTGAACAGAATGGGTATTTCCACCTGAACAAACTGTTCACTGCTGATATGGAGAGCTGGCTGGGTGCACAATGGCTATTTTTGTGCCTGGGTCAGAGCCGTGTTTTCCATGTTCCAACCACATCTTGTTTTTCCCCCACATCTTGCTGACGTGTCAAGATAAGAGAGGCGTTCAGAGCCCTTTGCTCTACCTCATACTTCTACAGGCACTTCCCAAGGACGCTGTGTGGAGCAGGTGGCTGTGGGGGGTAAATTCACCCAGGCAGGTGCTAGGGAGCAGTGAGTAGGTGCTGAGGGCTCCAACATTGGCATCACACTGCCAGGCCCGTAGCCTATCCTGGGGCATCCCCTTCTGGGGCTCTCTGCTGGCTGCCCATACCCTGCCCCCATTCCAGCAACTTCGTATGAGGTCCTACAGGTACACAGCTCAGCACTGAACAACAGCCCTTAGCTGGGAAGCCCGTCTCACCGGAACAGGCATTTCCTAGCTGGTACTCCTCTCGCTGCCTCCGAGCTCCACTTCATTGCTCTTTGAAATCAAGAAAGTCGCAGAGGAGGAGTCAGATGCTGACCCAGTGTTGGGGTGGCTGTCTAAGGACTTTTGGCTGTCCAGGACTTTGCTGGCTGGAAACACGGTCCTGGGAAAATGCTGCTTACTGTCCCCCAGGTTTGTCCAGGCCTGCTGACCACCATGCTTATAATGGGACAATCTACTAGGGCTGAATTTTGACAAGCCCTGCCTGCCCCTATGGCCTTGTTCTGGACACTCCTATGATGGGTCCATGCTGCCTCAGGAAGCACCAGGTAGAATAGCAGCTTTCTGCTGGGCAAAGTCCCCCCCCCCCCCCCTCCAGCTCCCAGTCAGACCCAGCTCTTCTAGCTGTGTGACCTTGACCAAAACCATCTACATCCCCACACCTCTGCTGCTTTCTTGTCTGTAAAAGGGGTGTGTGTGGCGGTGTCTCTTTGGCATGATATCTAGCCTGAAACATACATTCAACCAATGCACCTGTTTTGCAACCTTACCTGCCTCACTCATCCTCCCTCTCCTGTTTACTCCACAAACCCCAAAGCCTGAGCTGCTTTTCTCCATGACCAAAGCTCTTCAGCCTACGACTTGGGCTCCCACACTCTCTGGTGTTGTCAAAAACAGCATCTCACCTGCACCTGCAGTAGGAACGCCAGCATGTTGGGTCAGACCCAGCAGGGTTTGGTTCTTTGGCACTGTGTGGTGAGACTCCAGGCAGGTGGCTTTGTTTCCCAGCACCTTGGTTTTATCCCTTGTAAAGCAGTGGGTTCAATGTTCATGGAAGATGGCAGAGACAGGGCACAGAAGTGGCCTGGGAAGGTAGAAGGGATTGTAAGTCTTGCACCTGCAGCCTGCCAAGGCAGTACAGTGGGCTCCTTCCCCCAGGGGCACACTCTACTCGTATCTTTCTTTGGGCAAGTCACCCAGAACTCAGCAGCCTGCTATTCTCTCTAACTCGGCCACCATGGCAGGGAGCCCCATGTATTTCCAGCACTCTTTCCCTAAGGATACAGGACCATCTGTCCTGCTAGGCTCCTGCCCTTTTCTTAGAGTTTTGATGCCAACAAATGTTCCCCAGGCCAAAGCTTTCTCTTGCACAAGAGACCTCAATTTTGTTCAAGTTCATATGGGCCCGTGGATTCCTTTGGTCATTGGCAAGAGCAAGGGACACCTTGGGCCTGGGATGTGGTGGGATAGGAAAGGGCTTTGGCCAGGTGGACATCAGTTGACACTCAAATGACTCTGAGGAAGAAAAAGAAAAGCCTAGTGGTCTTCAAGTGGAGAAAAAATTCAAGTTTCCAACCAACACAAGTTGTGGCCACATACCTTATGCCCAAGTCATCCCACAGTTTTTCCAAACTTACAAATGTGTGAGCTTCATTTTCTGAGAGTCCTTCCTCATGTGGGCTGTCCCTGTTGGCTCCTGGGAGTCCTGCCTCCCTGCTGGGTACCTGTGCCCAACTGTGGCATGCCATCGGCTCAGGCTTCGGCCTCACTGTGTCTCCCTGGCCTGCTGATAAACAGGTGACAGTGCAGTATACACAGGACCATGGCGCAGTCATCCCAGTGCGCGTCCACACCATCGTCATCTCCGTACAGCACAACGAAGACATCACACTGGAGGACATGCGCAGGGCCTTGAAGGAGCAGGTGATCCAAGCCGTGGTACCAGCCAAGTACCTGGATGAAGACACCATCTACCACCTACAGCCCAGTGGGCGGTTCGTCATTGGAGGCCCCCAGGTGTGTCCTGGTCTCTGAAGGAGACTTGCATTCATGTCTTCCAATGGGTTGACTTCTGTCTTGGAGCGTACGAGGCTGCAAGAGGGTGCGTGGGGGCAGTTCAGTCAGCTACCCAATGTGAAGTCAGTGAAACTCAGATTCCATACCTCTGGTGCACACTCTTTGGGGACCTTCTCAGTGTTAGTAACCGAAGAACAGGGGGCATGCTCCTGGGATTCTCCCACTTAACTCTGCCTGGCCCTGGCCATGTTGCCCTGCCTTGCTTAGCCACTGAGTCACCACTGCAGAGCTTACTGGCTGACAGTTTCAGGTGGTGCTTGCCAGGGCTTTGCCTCATGCCACCTCAGGCTCTTGTGGACATCAAAGTGGGAAGGGATTTTGTTGTTTGCTTGCTTTCTCTCTCTCAGCAGAGTTCTGGCGACAGAGATCTTCCATCCACAGGTTCACTCCCCAAATGGCCAAAACAGCCAGAGCTTAAATGTTCTGAACCCAGAAGTCTGGAGATTGTTTTAGGTCTCCCACATGGGTGCAGGGTCCCAAGCCTTTGGGCCCTCCCTCACTGTTTTCCCAGGCCATAAACAGGAAGCTGGATTGGAAGTGGAATAACCAGGACTTGAACCAGGACTGATGCCCAAAGGGGATACTGGCATTACAGGCTGTTATGCCACAGCGCCAGCCCCAGGATTTTTATTTTTTATATGGAGACACCCGCTGCCCACTTTGTTCTGTACGGCAGGAGTGAGGAGGTGGAGGTCGACTGAGCACCTCTGAGATGCTGCGGAGTGCTTGGCTGTGGCAGCTCTACCACAAAGCTGAGCCCCCATGAAGGCGTTGTGAGCAAGCGTTGTGATGGACTGAAAGGAAGGCAGAGCTCATTGTAGACTGTTACCGAACTTCTCAAAGCCTGGACATGCCTGTGTGACCTGTGGATCTCTAGAAGGGGGGACCATGGGTAAAAACTTCCCCCAGACCATGAGACATGGAAGCCCCGGCCCTTTTCAAGCTGTCTTTATTGTCATGTTGGCACAGAGTGAGCAGCGTGGTGCCAGATTTGCTGGGTGGTACCAACCAGAGCCACAGCCTGGGACTGTAATTACCGCAATGGATTTCCTACCTGCAGGTGGAGTTCCCAGTGATTACAATCTCAACATCAGATGTTAGAAGTGCACTGGGATCCCAGAGAGCGTGTGGTCCATCTTCTGATCCTTCCAAGATTCTGGCTTCTGATAGCCAGTCAGGGACTGGGATCAGGAGCCACGGTTTCTGGCTGGCCATGACGTGCCTGCTGGCAGTGTTGTAGTTAGGCAGCCCTCAAGGTGCTCCCCAACTTCCACACTCCCCGACTGCCCCACAGCACCACCCACCCACCAGCAACTTGCGGGCTCTGGTTCTTATCTCTTTCTCTTCTTCCTCTTCGCAGGGGGACGCAGGCGTCACGGGCCGCAAAATCATTGTGGATACCTATGGTGGCTGGGGGGCCCATGGTGGGGGTGCCTTCTCCGGGAAGGACTACACCAAGGTGGACCGCTCGGCAGCTTATGCTGCCCGCTGGGTGGCCAAGTCCCTGGTGAAGGCTGGGCTATGCCGCAGAGTTCTCGTCCAGGTATGTCAGTCCCATGACCCTCTCTCCCAGCCCAAGGGACTCCACCCAGCATTGCCTTGAATTAAGGAGAAAGCGGCTTGATGGGAAAGACACATGTTTTGCCAAAGATTGGGACTGTGTGGGTCATGTCAGACCGCGTGGCCAGTGGTATCCTCTGCAGGGAGAGACAGCAGAAGTCTTCAGGGGCAGAAGCACAGCTGCTCGGGGAATCCAGCAGGCATGGTCTCTGCTGCCCCCTCCTGGGGACATCCAAGTCCCCAGGATGGCTGTGGTCGCTGACCCTGGTCCCCTATGAAAGGTTTCCTATGCCATCGGTGTGGCCGAGCCTCTGTCCATCTCCCTATTCACCTATGGAACCTCCCAGAAGACAGAGCGGGAGCTGCTAGACGTGGTGAACAAGAACTTTGACCTCCGGCCCGGTGTCATCGTCAGGTAAGGGTACCACCACTTGGGCCCTGCCACACCCAGGTGCTCAGATGAGCAACAAGGGACTTACCAGCCTCTTAGGAGCAGAAGAGGCAGGAAGCCATGGAGTTCTTGGTCCAACCCCACACCGCTTCCTGCACCCCCTAGCTGTGCAGGATGCCAGCGGGCCCAGCAGACCCCTGCTCCCAGCGGGCTGAGTTAGAGCAGCAGGGCGATCGGTGATGTGAAGCATGAGGCTGAGGCGCTGGGGACTGAGCCAGCAGGTTCTTTGCCATGTGCCTTCGTTTCTCACACTTGCCTGCTCCCAGGAAGGAATTCGAGGGTGTGGACGTTAGTCCTGGGCTGCACTAGAGGTGCAGGGAGAAAGGAGAGCTGTAAGAGCAGAGTTCAGCCCTGCCTCCTGGTGTGTCTGTGAGCCTCAGTTTCCCCAGGTGGAGCAGGTATGGGGCACTGTAGCCCTACTTAGAGTCTGCCCATCCCCGCACCTCAGCTCCCTGCCTGGGTTTGAAATACCTGTTCCCTTTTCCACACAGGGACCTGGATTTGAAGAAACCCATCTACCAGAAGACGGCGTGCTATGGCCACTTTGGAAGGAGCGAGTTCCCCTGGGAAGTCCCTAAGAAGCTGGTGTTTTAGAGCCCCCCGGGTGGGGGGCAGCTAGACCCGGTGATGGCCTAGTGGCATCCAGGTCTCCGTGTGTCCCTCCTCCAAGATTCCCCCCAGACCCTCCCAGGTCTGTGCCTGGGCTTACCCACAATCCACTGGAGTAAAGCCAGACCCCTTAAATTGTCACTCTAGCCTGGCACCACCACAAATGGCAGGAGGCAGGTGACCTCCTGATGGCTGGGGGCCAGGTGTTAACATGAAGAGACTCACAACATCCCCCACCCCCACCCCTCAGGCCAGGACATGGTTCCCTTTGTGGTCAAACCACCCCCAGACAAGAGTGGACCCCCACACTTTCCCTCTTTTTACCCCCTCCCCCTTCCCACCCTCCTCCTCCTCTCCAGCCCAAACACTGAGTATCTCCCACTCCCTTCCCTGGCTTAAGCCAAGGTCAGGGCATTGCACAGGTGCCAAGCTCCCTGAAGGCCCAGTTGAGCATCTGCCATCCATCTGTGGCCAGTACCTCCAAGCCAGGGCTTTGTGCACAGCCCTGTCCAGGCTGGGAGTGCAACTGGGATGAGAATGGGGTTAATGTCTGCTAAGGCTAGGGTTATTGGGAATTATGGGATTCACCTGTCAGCTCTTGGTGAGCCCTGGCCTCTGGTCCATGAGGCCTGGAGAAAACCAGAGCACCTTCTCATTGGCCTCGTTCATCCAGCATTGGAGAGAGGAGGCAGGAAGCTCTGGGCATCCTGGCCCTTGAGGCTGGCATAGAGTTTGGCATTAAGAGAAGCAGCCTTGAAATCCTAGCCCTTTGACCACCTAGAGATGTGCAGGGCTTTAAGGAGGGAGTGATTCAAGTCAAGTTCAATCTCACTTGAGCTTCCTGGAGCAGGGGCAGCAGCCCAGGTGACCAGTTCTTTAGAGGGGGAACTGGATGCCTGTGTTCCTCATGTCTTTGATTCCCTCTATCGTGTGGAGGGCCCTTGGGGTAAAGGGGCTGATCTCTAGATGCCCCTTCCACAGTCTATAAGCCCAGATCCATAACACTCAATAGAGCCTGGGTACCTCTCAGTGGTAGACCAGTTGGCTGAGATGACATGTGGGCATATATAGCCTTTCCCAGGTGGTATTTGACGGGGCATGTCTGTCCTCAGAGTCCTAAGCGGTTGTCAGCACTGTGGGGTCTTGGAAGTGGCATAGTGCTTTTTCAGCCCCAGACAATGCTACTCGCCTACCCTGTCCTCAGCTTAGGTCTCTGACCCCAACATCTCTACCATCTGCCTCACTCCCAGGACCACAGGCTCAGTCTAGGGAACACCAGGGGCCCCCCAAAAAACACTAGAGAGCAAGGTGCTTTCTATTGCTTTGATGCCTTCAATTCCCGGCAGTAGAAGGAGGCATACATCTGCCAGTGGCTGAGTGTCTATAACTCAGGCCATATTAGCAATGAAAATTCAAAACTATGTGCTTTCCCTACCTCCTGGGAAAAACAAGGTCCTTTCTGGTCAGCGTTGTTTATATGAAATGAAACCTTCCTGTTGTTGGTGCTCATTCCTGCTGGAATGGCGAATAAAAGCTTAAAGAACAGCTTCCTCTCTGGTCTAAAAAAAATCCTAGCTGCCCTCCTCTGGGTTAGCACTCATCGGGGTCTCCCTCTCCCAACAGCCTTGGCTCCCCCACAAAGTGAGCCCACTTTGGGCCCCTCCATTCTGGTCCCCATGGCGCACACCCCACCTGGACTGAGCTCCTGGCTGCCACGTGAAGCCACGGTTCCACTCTCCTGGGGTCCACTGAGCTGACCCACTTCACATTTGGGGACCACTGAGGGTCAGCAGTGAGCCCATGGCTGGTGCTTCACAGTGCCCTCGGGCTGGCATTCTGCTGCCCCAGCCCCCAGTGTTAACCATCTACTGTGATGCTTCCACAAGGTGAATACTCAGTCTGTACTTGACTAGGTGAATGAACAGAGGGAGGCAAGGAGCCTGAGAACAGCAGACAGGTGAGGCAAAGCTCCAAGTGGTGGCACCTTTCCCTCTTACATGTTTCAAACATGAGAAGAACATGCAAGCTTCTGTTTCACTAGAAGGTTGCCCTGGCACTGGCCCTTAGCATCTCGGTCCTGCAGGCTTGGTTAGAGCAGGTGAGGAGATGGGACTCCTGCAGGCGATGTGGGGCAGGAGTCAGCTCTGGAGCCCATCCTGGTGCAGGCTGACAGCCTGGGCAGCTGCTCCCTCCCACCCCATGAGCAGGCTGGTCCGGGCCCCAAGATGGGTCCACAGATCTTGTGGGCAACAGGCTGCATTCCCTGGCAGCAATGAAACAGTATGCATGTGTCACACGTAACATATGTGTGTGTGTTCGTTTCTTCAGCACATATACAACACACATGTGTGAGAAAGTGCACAAATGAAAAGAGTAATATGTTGGAGTCTTGCCTGTAGATTAAGGACACTTTGGGTATAAAGTACAAAAATGAGCATGGAAAAATGAAAACTGCCCTGCCGCATGGAGCCCTCAAGTGCCCAGAAACCCAGGGACATGTGGAAGCAGTAAAGACTGGGTCAGCAGAGCAGGAGAAAACCGGGGAAGGGTGGGCCACCGTGGGAAGCCACATGAAGGCAGGACTCCCAGGTTGGAGGCACATGACTGGGCCAATCATTGCACAGACTGGCTTTATAAAGCACCTGTTAGGAACGTGGTGCCATGGCCAGCAGGCTTTAGGTACTAAACTTGTTTCAACGCTGGAAACGACTATAAGGTATCTGCTTTTGTGGATGGGGCATGCGGGAAAACTTTGTGGATGAGGTGAGAGAACTGATGTGCTAAAATGGCCAGCAAGGCAAATCTTGATTGGAGAGACCCAGAGTCAGGCCAGCGGGCTGAGATAAGCTTTATTTGGGCAACCAGACCTATGGGGGTGACCACTGTGAGAAGGAATGGGGAGGCATGATAAGATGTTTCATAGTTGAGGAATCCCACCCCTCGTCCCTCCAAAGAAAACCCAGCGAAAGGGCAGAGCCCCATCATCACCTTCCTGCATGGAGAAGTTCTGGAAAGGGGTCTGAGCGTGGTGCCCGGCAGCTTCAGAAGCAGGAGCCAGGAACTGATGAAGAATCCAGCAGGAAGGAGAAGCCGAGCCAAGGGCACGGGGGAGTAGGTAGGGCCACGGGAGGCTGCGTCAGCGCTAGAGCCAGGATGCCCTCCCTAGCACAGGCAGGCCGTGTCGGCCCATTGGATGTGGTTCTCCGGGACAGGTTGAGATGACTGGCCGCCTGAGCCTGGGCTGGCAGCTGCCGGTGAGGGCCCTTTTCCGGGGCTGTAGATCTCACACTCCTCACCACATTCTCACTTAGTGAAAAGAGAGAGAGGACTTGGCACCGTGACGCTGTGGGCTAACCTTCCATCTATAGCACTGACATCCTATATGGGCGACAATTCGTGTCCCAGCTGCTCCACTTCCCATCCAGTTCCCTGCTTGTGGCCTGGGAAAGCAACAGAGGACAGCCCAAAGCCTTGGGACCCTGCACTGGTGTGGGAGACCCGGAAGAAGCTCGTGGCTCCTGGCTTAGGATTGACTCAGCTCTGACCATTGTGACCATTTGGGGAGTGAACCAGCAGACTAAAGATCTTTCTGTCTCTCCTTCTGACTGTGACCCTGCCATTCCAATAAAAGCCAGTAAAATACAGAGTCGGAACGGTCTCCCAAACCCTTGCCTTTACTGACAACTACCCACCCCATTCCTAATGCCATCACGCTGGCACAGGGGGACGGAGTTGCCAAGGATTTCAACATGTCAGTCTTGGCAGGATGAAAACAGTCCATGACACTGCCAAATTCAACTTCATAAAAAACACAAGTCTCATGCATTGACAAGGAAGGGCAAATCAAGGCAAAGGGTAAATGGCAGAGTAGCAAAGATTGGCTATGCCAGACTGAATGATCGATAGGAAAGCAACCAGAAACTGTGGCAAGGCGTATTCAGAAGGTCAGGATGGGAATAAACAGCAATGAAAAAAAGCTGCAAGGAACAAAAGATGTTCAGCAGCACTTAGGTTTCAAGAAATAAAAGCTTTTAAAAAGTGAAATATTTGTGCCAAAAGCTAAAAATGGGGGGAAATGAAGAAGAAAAGAAGCCTGTTAAAATGCAAGGCAGGCAGATGTCAGGAAGCAGTCTCCCAAGTGGCCTTGCACCTGCGCCAACTTTGTAAAAGGCAATTTCATTAAAATATATACGTTGGTCCTACCTGGTTTGTGGGTCAGGTCAGGGATAACACTGAGATAGGGAGCAAGTTCCAGGAACAGTGGAGGGCAAGGCCAGGGTGTGCTGGGCCTATGGGGGTGCTGCTCTAAGGACGGCCCCCGTCTGCATCCACCTGTCCTGGGGTTGAGCCCTGGCAGGGAGGCAGCGGCATGCCGCTCACCCCGAGGAGCCTTCTAAGTAGCAGCTGCAGCTCCTGGACCAATCAAGGCAGCCTCAGGAGGGGGGACTTCCCTCCCAGGGACGCTGCCCAGGCCCCCCAGGGGACAGGTGGGGACACTGCGGAGGCAAAGGGCAGACCCGCCCTGCCCTGGGAGGGGGGGGGGCGGGCATCTCCATTTTCCACTTCTTTTTTTTTTTTTTTTAATTTTCTCTGGTTTCTAATTTTCTTGAGGAATAATTATAGAAAAATCATTTCTATTGTTGGTCCTTTTTTTCAAAAAACAGAGATTTTGAGTTTTATTAACCATTACACGGTCATTTGATAGTGCCAAGGTGTAGACTGACATCTTTCAATGTGTTAACTATTTAAAATTATCCAGAGTTACAGAGAGAAGGAGAGAGATTGTCCATCCACTGGTTCACTCCCCAAATGGCTGCAACGGGGGAAAACTGGGCCGAATTGCAGTCAGGAGCCTCCTCTGGGTCTCCCATGTGGGTTCAAGGATCCAAGGACCTGAGCTATCCTCCACTGCTTTCCAGGGCTCATAAGCAGGAGAGCTGGATCAGAAGTGGAGCAGCCAGGACTCAAACCGGTGCCCCTTTGTGATGCCAGTGCCACAGGCGGAAGGAGGACAGTGACCATGCATGAATTCTAAGGAATGGCGCACTGAGGGCTCTGCCATGGTTCTGGCAGCGGGAAGTGAGAGCAGGCAGAATTCATTGCAGGGTGGGGTTGCTCTGCTTCAGGGCATTTGGGCCTATGGAAGCAGCCTCTCCTGAAAAA